TGAAGAACTACAAGACTACTTCAATACCATCCTTTTAGGCTCTGGAAGACAAGTAGCTTTCATTATCAAGTGCAAATTATTTGAAAAAATATAAGATGTTGTAGGATAGATAATCCAAACATTTAAAAGATATTTAATCCTACCACTCTAATACTCTTGTCTTAGTACAATTAATGAATAAATAGTATTTGCTGATAATTTGATTGCTGGTGTGTGTCTCTTCGACTCCCCCGCCCCCCCCCAATATATTTTTTATTGATTTCAGAGAGGAAGGGAGAAGGCGAGAGAGATAGAAACATCAATGGTGAGAGAGAATCATTGAGCAGCTGCCTCCTGTAGGCCCCACACTGGGGATGGACCCTGCAACTGGGCATGTGCCCTGACTTGAAATCCAACCGTGACTTCCTGGTTCATAGGTTGACACTCAACCTCTGAGCCAATGCCAGCCGGGCTGGTTTGTGTTTTTGAGAATATAATGTTTAGAACGCTTACACAATTTTGAAGTATAGTGTATCAATTGAGAGCTCTTACTCCTAATGTGAAAAAGGCTGCAGGGTTGTGGGGGAGGGGAATGTGGAGGCTGAGGAGGGGTAGAAAGTACACAGTAAATTCTTAACTTGGAGGTGAAAATTGGATTGATAGCTATCCAAGTGTCAGCCTATTAAAGCATTCCTATCAAAGATAAATATGGATCCATTCATATTGCATAGAGTCACTTACACGTTATAGAGTAAGGCAGATGTCTCCGTGTGCGGGGCACCGTGCCTCTAAAGCATCACCCAGTGCAGCCCCAGGGTGAGCTGGGGGGAGGGAGAACAGGGAACACACTTGTATTTCATTATTTTATAAAAAATGACAAAGTTGCAAGGGGGATAAAGGTGGTCCTTGGTGTCCTCTTTGCCCCTCCCCTGGTTAGCGGTCCAAGCTGCCTCTCCTGGGGCACCTCCCACTCCCAGGCCTTACCCTCCGGTTTCCAAGTTCTCTCTTCTGCACTCACTCTACCACTTTTCAAACTATCTGTTGTTAAAAGATACAATTTAAACACATTGCTATAATTCACCATGAGGTCTATCAGTACTCATTGATTTTAGGGGCGGTGGTGGTGGTTTGTAATATAAAAGAGAAATTTACAATATCTATTAATGTAATGCATTGGGGAAGTTATTTTTTTCTAATCTTTATCCCTTCTTATTTGTTAATTTTTAAAATTTATCTTTATTGTTGAAAGCATTGTAGATGTCCCCCCTTTCCCCCTCTTAACCCCCTTGACCCCTTTGACCCCACACCACCCCCCTCAGGCCTTCACTGCACTATTGTCTGTGTCCATGGGTTATGCATAGAAGTTATTTCCCTCTGCGATTTATCAGTCTGTTCCATGCTTCTATGTCTCTGAATCTATTTTGTTCATCAGTTTATTTTGTTCATTGGGGAAGTTATTATTTTTTTAAAATATATTTTTATTGATTTCAGAGAGGAAGGGAGAGGGAGAGATAGAAACATCAATGATGAGAGAGAATCATTGATTGGCTACCTCCTGCACAACCCCTACTGCGGATCCAGCCTGCAACCAGGGGAATGTGCCCTGACCGGGAATTGAACCCTGACCTCCTGGTTCATGGGTCGACGCTCAACCACTGAGCCACACCAGCCGGGCAGGGAATTATTTTTGGCTCACGGTGCTTTCTTAGGCTTGCCATCCTAGGTTTCTCAGAACTGGAAGTCAGAATGTGTAGAGGCTGCAGTACTCTTCGTTTGGACCCATTTTTATCCCAATGGGGGAAACTATGTCCATCCAGATATAAATCTGGCTTTTAAGGGATTGCAGAAGGTACAGAGAACTTTTCCTATTGTCAAAGGTACATATTTTTATTGTCTTGCCTCATAACTGTTTACTTTTTTCTAAAAGAATATTTAAAATTTTTATTTCCTACCCAGCATATAATGCAGAATGAACATCTTAAAGACATTATCAAGGGTATAATGTAACTCAAAGGGGAAAACGTGTGTCTTCAGAACGGGAGTGGTTTTACCAGGTGCATAAACTGCATAAAATTCACATAGTTGTACATTGATAAATCTTACCCAACAAGTCTTGCACATATGTTATTTTGAGACAGAGGCTTATAATTGCAGATTTTAATTAAGATCTAAATAATTGCTCATTTCACCTCTGCCTTTATTAGCTGTAGCTTTTATTAATGTGCCTCTCCTAGCAATGCATACTCCGTGCAACATTCACAGATGGGAATCTGCATCTAATGCCTGACTGACGGGTGTAAGAAGTAGGGCAGTGGGCAGAGCTTATCTAGAGTTTCCATATATGTGTTGTGTCAATTTACAGAAAAAGGAATGCAGGCACCAGTAATAGGAATAGTGAAGCATGTAGGAAAATTAAGATTTTTAAGATGATGGGAGAACACACATACATATGCATTTTATTTGAGGGTACTTTATTGGTGATGACCATTGATTTTTTTTTTTTTTTACCATTATTGACTCTTCTTTTAATTTTGAAAATATAACATTAGTTTCCTGTGAAACAACTTTTCCTCCCCAAACTTAGACATGAGGAGTTAAGACGTGGTCACTGGCATCTTATCTCTTGATGACTCAGGCATCTAGTGATCTTTGGGCCCATTATGATGCCTGTATTACGTGAGTGGCTTTTTGCATCCACCATCAGTGAATAATGGAAGAAATAAGCTTGCTTAGAAGCCATTAATTTCTATGAGTCATCCAACCATACCTATGTAAGGCTTAAAATGGAAACAAAGATTGAGGATGCTAACTTGTGGAAGAAAGACTTAATGAGATTTAGGTCGACAAGAAACTCCACTGGGACTGGGAGAAAGTTAAGCAGCAGCACATCATATCTTTTGGAAGTCATATCTTGTGTCTTTAGAGGCTGATTTTTGAACAAAGCAATATAACTGATTATACTCTAGTGAGACTGATAAAGAAAAAAGAAGTAACCCCAAATTACCAATCTCAGAAATTAAAAGATGGGATATCACCACACATCCTCTGGATATTATAAAGATAATAAGGATTATTATGGACAACTGTTTGTCAATGCATTTGAGAACTTATATCAATATACAAGATTATCAGAACATACCAATAATAAAACTGGCTTAAGAATATAAAATCTGAATTGTTCCATATCCGTGAAATTTGTTTTGTAATGTAAACCTTCCCATTTGGAAGGCTGCAGGCCAATTGGTGAATTCTATTATGTATTGAAGAGATAACATCAATAATGCCAATCCTACACTAATCCTTTCAGGAAACAGAGGAGAAGGGAACACTTCCCAACACATTTTATGAGGCCAGATTTCCTTGGTACCAAACCAGATAAAGACATTAAAAGAAAAAAAAAAACGGAGACCAATATCTTTTTGAGCACAGAAGAAATCCTTAACCAAATATTATCAAATTGAACCCAAGAGTGTATATTAAAAAGATAATACATGACCTAGTGGAGTTTATTCCAGCAATGCAAGATCAATATAAGGTTCCAACATTAATCAATGTAATCATATTAACAGATTAAAGGGGAAAACACACCCCAATAAATGCAGAAAAAGCATTTGGTAAAATTCAACAAGTTTATATAGCAAGCAGTCTGGGAAGAAGATACAGTGCCTTGCTCTGGAGCAAAGGACAAGTTTGGTTTCAGCCTTGGAAGCTAGAGTTAGTGACTGCCTGGAGCAGGGCAGATATGCTAACTGACCTGTATAATAAAGGTAAAGTTTAGAGCAAAGGACGGGCATGCTTACTGCATTTATACAATACTAGAGGCCCGGTGCACAAAATCAGGCATGGGTAGGGTCCCTAGGCCCGGCTGGGGCCTTCCTTTGTTCTGCACCACCCTCTGGCGGTCAGCGCACATCATAGTGAGCGATTGAACTCCTGGTCTCCCGGTTGAACTCCCAAAGGGGACACTTTGCATTATATATATATTTGGGTTCCCTAACCTCAGAGCTCTCTCTGGCAATAGAACTGACTATGGTCCTTTTCATGCTGTTTATAGGAATTGGAGAACTAATGCAAAAAAAAAAAAAGCTAATATTCTGGCTACTGCTGTTGCTGTAACAAACTGTCCTTTACCTCTGACCCAGGTGTCTCATGTCTTCCACTAGAACTCATGAAACTGTGAGGCTAACATAATAGCCTATAAGTTGGGTGACATCTCATACTGTTCACAGTTCTGGAATATATATGTAATATATAATATACAATGTATAATATGTAATACATAATTTATAATATATAATATATATATAATTCCAATTTCTAATTAAAAAACTAGTTTAATAAATTACAGAGTAAATGTAATCATGTAAAAGCAAATTAAAATTATTTTGTAGACAAAAAAGTTCTGGCACAAAGGATCTTGAAACATTGATTTTAGAAATTTATTTACATCTCTTGGATGGAAGCAATTGATTCAGTTTACTTGGAATTCCTGGGAAGAAAGAAGAATTTGTTTTAAGGTGGGAGTGCTGAATGTACTTCAGAAAAAACAGTAATTTAAAAAAACCTTGCTTCCTCCCAAAGTTGCATTGTACTTATACAATGTATAGAAGTAATATGAATAAAATAACATGAATTTTATAAAAAAGAGCAAAACCTCTAAATAATTCCACTCTATAGTACATTGAATACAAATCTTACAAAACTAAGTTGTATTCATCTTAAAAGTTCCCTTCTTTTTTAGAAAATATACTTTTATTAATTTCAGAGAGAAGGGAGAGGGAGAGAGAGATAGAAACATCAATGATGAGAGAGAATCATTGACTGGCTGCCTCCTGCACATCCCCTACTGGGGATCAAGCCCTCAACCCAGGCATGCGCCCTGATGGGGAGTTGAACCATATATTGAACCTGCTTTATAGTTTGACCCTCAACCACTGAGCCACATGGGCCAGGTGAAAAAGTTTCCTTCTATTACTGTCCTCTGACTCATGCCCAGTAGGCTAAAGGAGTCTTACTTTCTATTAATCCCCCACAATGTACATACCTTTCAATTCAGGAGCTAAAGGCCTACTCCTGGGACCGGAGGTGTCTTCGTAAGTATCATAGCTGTCAAGATGGAATTTCTCTCTTCTTGATATGTAACCCATTTTTGACAGGTCACCATGCTGACCACAGATTTTTTGCATTAGATTTAAGTATTCTCTTTGAAGATTCCGCATTTCAAACTCCAAGGTGTCCCTCTCATTCTCTATACTTCTCACGTAGTTCTCTAAAAGTATTTTGTCTTCTGCAAGTCTACTGATGCTGCTTTCAAATTGTATATTTTCTTGAGTATGTTTCTTTAGTTCTTCTTTTAGAATCTGATTGTCTGTTTTAATTTCCATGACCATTTTAGATAACATTTCACATTCATTGCCCCTTTCGGATAAACTATTCTTATAAATACTTGCTTCTGATTTTGCATTTTTTATTTCATTCAGGAGATTCTCTTCAGTAGTAGACTGGTATGTTTGCATGTTCTCAATTTCTCTTTCCATCATTTGCCTGGCAGCAGTAGATTCTTGTAATGCTGTTTCAAGACTAAGTTTTTCATTATTGACTGTTTCTATTATTTGAAGCAGTGCCTCATGTTCAGTTTTTGCCAATCTTTCTCTCTCTTTCAGCTGCACTACCTCTAGCTGGTTTTCTTTTAGTTCATTTTCAAGTGAGCTTTTTTCCTTTAGAAGCTGGTAGGTTTTCTTCTCTAACATTTCCCTTTCATCTTGTATCAATAGAATATTTGTTTTCATGGATTCCATTTCTATGCTCATTCGATTATATTCATTATTGACAATGGCCATATCATTTTGAGTTTTCTGTTCTTTATTTTTTAGTTTATCTAATGTTTCTAACATTTGTTGTTTCTCCAAAGAAAGTTGACTATTTTTTTCCTCTAGAGTTTTATTTTGTCCTTGGAGAACATTATATTTACTAATTACTTTTTTCAATTCTTCAGTACAGTTTTTGCCATCTTCTTCTGTTTTAATTAATTGGGACTGAACAGTGTTCTTTTCTTCAACCAAATCCTTAAGTTGCTTTTCATATATTTCAATTTTCTGTATCAGAGATTGTGTGGTAAAGATCAGTGGTTTTATTTTGGTCTTAAGGGTTAGATTTTCATTCTCCAGCTCTGCTACTTTTTTCTGTATCTGTATAGATTCTTTTAGGTAATTCTGTAAGTACTGAATTTTTGCAACACACTGCTCAGTCATGGAATTGACTTTGGATGTTTTCTCATTTTCAAATATTATTGGTCCTCGTTTTACTACAAGTGGTTGCCTTTCTTTGTCTTTCATTTCATATTTTGTTGAGTCAAAGAATGGTGGTGTAAATGGAAGTCTGGAATGGAATTTTAAATCTGCAGTATTCTTGTCAGTGGTAGGAATTTCTTTATTGTTTTTCTCATTCTTCTTTCCCCTATGTGTTTCACTCCTAGACAATTTTTTACATTTCCTACAAAAATTCAGATGGAATTTTGACACTGATTCCCTGAGTGGGAGTAATTTGCTTATTAATGCCTCTAATTCTAAAATTCGCTTTGATTTTATATCTTCATTTAAGGTACTTTCCATATTTTCATCCTTAATAAAGTTAATTTTTTCCTTGTGAATGGGGGACAGGTCATATTGAGTATTACTTTGAACATTTGTATCCATCTTTAAAGTTTGAAGTTCATTTGTAAGTGCCAGTTCCCTGTCGTGTGACTTTTGCAGCTCTTTCTTCATTTGCTTGATAGAATGGCAAATATCATCTAAATTTTCACGAAATCCGTGCTTGGGGAAAGGCACAGTAATCTTGGAATTATCCAGAATTACTGTATCAGCTCGAGGCATAACATTTTGAGGTGCGTTAGCTAGAAAACTATAAATGTTATAATTCTTCAACATGTCAGAATTTTCTGAAGTGTTCATAATCATGTTTGAGGCTGGATTATCCATTGAAGTTCTTAGAGTTAATATGTCCTTGAAATGTATCTGGGGTGGCATATTTACACTTGGAGAGAGACTGTTGACATTATTGCTACTGAATTTTTCTTCTATTGAAGGGAGAGTCCTCGAGTCCTCAAAATGATGAATTTTGTCCACAGAGAGGATTTCTTCTTCATTCTCTGTAGGCTAGTAACAATAAGAAGCACACTGTAAATGTACTGCCATTTGCCACGTGACCAACATAATAAGATAACATTTTGTGGAGGATTTGTTTTTGCAAGCAAACGAGCATTTCAATCACATCGACAGCGAAGAAGCCCAACAAGTATGATTCATTTCCTCCAGAAAATCTAACAACAGTTGAGATCTGTAACTCTGGTCTTTGCAATTTATACTTATTTCCTTCAGGAGTGAGATACATGGGCCAACCCCTCAGTTTCAGAAATAAACATTTAACCTCTCTCAAGAGACCATCACAGATGGATGGGAAAGAGAGAAGCAATAGGCCAAATGGAAGTTTAAAGAATAATGAACATTTCCACTTCTCGGCTATTTGTCTCCCTCAGCTTGCATTCCTGGTTCCAGATGATTCTAGGGGCTGTGAGTATCCTGAAAATGTGAGTGTGAATCAGTACGGACACAGTGACACTGGTATGGACTTGTCCTAGTGCATTTACCCCAGGTCTAGGTCAATCCTAAAGTAGAAAAACTCAAAAGTGGACAGATAGACTATAACAACTGCCCTGTATTTCATTTTCTTGGGAATCTTTGGGTATCTGGACTAAGTTAAATGCCCTTCATACACCTCCTACGGGAAATGGGATGTTGCAGAAGTATGGGGGCAAACTCACGCCTTTTAGGGTTTTCAGGACAGGAATTTCCTTCTTTTCCTCTCTGACAATCCAGTTACCCTGTGAAAAAGGGGAAAACGTGAAGTTGAAGATAAACTGGTTGTGGTAATATTTTTGAAATCCCCAAATATAGAATGATTTTGTACAGAATAACATACCTTTTCATTGTGTGTGTTGAATACTAGATTTTTTTCTGAGCTAAACTGTGGGTTTTCTACTTCAATAATACTTTTGTTCAGTATGTCACTAATTTCAGATTGTACCTTTAAATAGATAAATAGAGAATGTTAGAATTTGGTTTCAGGTTTATAAACTTATGAATGTCCAGAAGTAATAGTATAATTAAAAGATAACTTTTAATTTCCCGCATGTAAAAATTCTTTCCCATCACATAAAATTAAAACTTAACTTATTGTAATCTATGTAATTAAAGATATCTACACTAATAAAAGAGAAAAATGGTAATTGGCGTACGATGCTACCCTTTTCATTGGCTAATCAGGGCTATATGCAAATTAACTGCCAACTCAGATGGCAGTTAACTGACAACAAAGATGGCGGTTAATTTGCATATGTAGGCACAATTCAGGGAGGCAAAAGGGAAAGCAGGAAGAAGCCCCCTGCCACTGACAGTGATCGGAAACCCAGGGGGCAGCTAAGAGCCAGGGGGCAGGGGAAAAGC